TGTTTTACAAAGGGGCGTTCCTGTCTTACGAATTTACTACAGGAAGGTATTTGAGGAGGTAGATCATGGTATTGAATATCATATTGTGTATATGGACTCCAGTAAGGCTTTCGACAGAGTTCCACATCAGATGCTATTGAGGAAACTTAAGGCACACGGAATAGGAGGAGAATTTTTTTCCTGTGTAGAGGCTTGATTGACAAATAGGTAGTAAAGAGTTTGCATAAATGGGGTGAAATCAGAATGGGGGCACGTCACAAGCTGCATTCCACAGGGGTCTCTGCTGGGCCCCTTGTTCACAATTTACATAAACGACAGAGTTGAAGGAATGAATAGCAAGATTAACAAATTTGCTCATGACACCAAAATAGGCCGTCCAATTCATTCTAATGAGGACATTAAAGCACGTTGTTTACAAGAACCCAAAGTACGCTCTGCTGTTATCCATCTCAACTCGGGTTTCTTCCTTACTGCCATCACTTTTGTTACTTGGCGAATTTAATGCTTACCATTTCCTGTGGAGGGTCTTACTGTGACTCCCGCAGCATTCAATTGGAGGCTTTCCTTGCTTCTCTCCTCCCTCCATATTTTAAATGCAGGTACTCCCGCCCATTTAGATCCTCGTACTCATTCTATCTCTTGCATCGATTTCTCGATTTGCTCTTCCTCAACTGTTTACCTGGTCTGTCCTCCCGGACTTCCTTGACAACGACCATTTTCCAATCATCATTACTTATCCATCGTATTCACCACCTCCTCGTAGCCAACGCTGGCAATTTGACTGAACGAATTCGGATCTTTACTCCCATGAAACTGCTTTTAGTTAGGATCCTTCTTCGTCCTCCATTGATGAGCTTTTACACACCTTCTCGACCTCAGTTTTAACAGCAGCGTTACATTCTAAAACCCAAACCTAGGGCAACCATTGTGAAAGGTGCATGATTTGGTGGTCTCCTGATTGTACTTGGGCAGTACGTTTGATACGCGCTGCGTGGGGCAGGTACCAGTACAGTTGAACCAAAAAGCGACTCCATGATTTTAAACATGTGTCATCCATGACGCTAAACGCACTTGCTGGCAGAGAGTTAGAACCATTAGATTTTCCTCTAGCAGAGAAGACTCTTATAATGTGCCTTTTACACTTCTGGAAGTGCAGGCAACACTCTCAGCTTGCCGATCACCGGTAGCTGGGCCTGACGGCATTCATATTCGTATGCTACAGCATTTACATTACTTAGCCCTTGCTGTCCTCTTACGACTCTTTATTCTTATTTGGTCGTAATGAGTTCTTCCCCATCTGTGGAAATCTGCCATTGTTCTCCCTTTCCGCAAACCAGGGACTACGGGCCATGATGCCTCCCACTAGAACATAGCACTGGCTTACTCATTACAGGAAACGACTTGTTCACTACTTAGGTAAAACGTCTATTCATCACTCAGGAAAAATGCCTATTAACCACTCAGAAAAATCGTCTATTAATCACTCATGAAATACGTCTATTCTTCACATAGGAAAAATGTCCATTAATCACACAGTAAAAATGCCTATTAACCACTCAGGAAAAATGCCTATTCACCACACATCATAAACGTCTATATGCCACTAAGGAAAAACGCTTACTCACTACACAGAAAAAAACACATGTTTACCACTCAGGAAAAAAAAACACCATTTCATCATACCGAAAAAAACGCCTATTCATCACTCTGTCAACCATCCACTACTATAACATTTCAAAAGACTATCTGAACTACAATACCTAATACTCTGTACTTCTAATCTTCAGGATTAAAGTGTAGCTAACTGGCTACTCTGAATAACTTAGTCGCATCAAGTTAAAAGTGTTGGCAAGAGGTGTTGGGTTAAAAGATAAAGAATCTAACACAAAGTAGAAGTTGTCACAGTTGCTCTTTGCTGATGACACAGTGCTTTTGGGAGATTCTGAAGAGAAGTTGCAGAGGTTGGTGGATGAATTTGGTAGTGTATGCAAAAGAAGGAAGTTAAAAGTGAACATAGGAAAGAGTAAGGTGATGAGGATAACAAAAAAAATAGTTAATGGAAGATTGGGTATCAGATTGGAGGGAGAGAGTATGGAGGAGGTGATTGTGTTTAGATAATTGGGAGTGGACATGTCAGCAGGTGGGTCTATGAAGGATGAAGTGAATCACAGAAGTGACAAGCAGAGGTCACACGTGATGATCATACTGACACGAAGGTCACAGGTGAAGATCATACTAACACGAAGGTCACACGTGATGATCATACTGACACGAAGGTCACAGGTGAAGATCATACTAACACGAAGGTCACAGGTGAAGATAATATTGACACGAAGGTCACATGTGAAGATTATACTGACACGAAGGTCACACATGAAGATTATGCTGACACAAAGGTCACATGTGAAGATTATACTGACATGAAGGTCACACGTGAAGATCTTACTGACACGAAGGTCACATATGAAGATCATACTGACACGAAGGTCACATGTAAAGATCATACTGACACGAAGGTCACACGTGATGATCTTACTGACACGAAGGTCACACGTGAAGATCTTACTGACACGAAGGTCACACGTGAAGATCTTACTGACACGAAGGTCACACGTGAAGATCTTACTGACACGAAGGTCACACGTGAAGATCTTACTGACACAAGGTCACAGTGAAGATCTTACTGTCACGAAGGTCACGTGAAGTCTTACTGACACGAAGGTACACGTGAAGATCTACTGAGACGAAGGTCACACTGAAGATTTATGACACAAAGTGACACGAAGATCTTACACAGAAGTCACTGGAAGATACTGACACAAGGTCACCGTGAAGATCTATGCGACACGAAGTCACATGAGATCTAATGACACAAGTCATACTGAATCTAACGGACACGGAAGTCATACGACGTAAGATCACTAGTACACGAAGGTCACACACATGAAGAAACTGACACGAAGGTCACACGTGAAGCTACTGACACAAAGGTCACACGTGAAGATCTTACTGACACGAAGGTCAACATGAAGATCACTGACACGAAGGTCACACGTGAAGATCTTACTGAACGAAGGTCAAACGTGAAGATCTTACTGACACGAAGGTCACACATGAAGATCTTACTGACACGAAGGTCACACGTGAAGATCATACTGACACGAAGGTCACACGTGAAGATCATACTGACACGAAGGTCACACTGAAGATACTACACGAAGGTCACACGTGAAGGTCTTACTGACACGACTAACTGAGATTACTGACCAAGGTCACACGTGAAGATCTTACTGACACGAAGGTCACACGTGAAGATCATAGTGACACGAAGGTCACACATGAAGATCTTACTGACACGAAGGTCACACGTGAAGATCTTACTGACACGAAGGTCACACGTGAAGATCTTACTGACACGAAGGTCACACGTGAAGATCTTACTGACACGAAGGTCACACGTGAAGATCATACTGACACGAAGGTCACACACGTGAAGATCTATACTGACACGAAGGTCACACGTGAAGATCTTACTGAACGAAGGTCACACGTGAAGATCTACTGCACAAAGGTCACACTGAAGATCTTACTGACACAAGTCACATGTGAAGATCTACTGACACAAGTCACACGTGAAGATCATCTGACACGAAGGTCACACTGAAGATCTACTGACAGAAGGTCATGTGAAGATCTACTGACACGAAGGTCACACGTGAAGATCATACTGACACGAAGGTCACACTGAAGATCTTACTGACACGAAGGTCACACGTGAAGATCTTACTGACACAAAGGTCACACGTGAAGATCATACTGACACGAAGGTCACACATGAAGATCTTACTGACACGAAGGTCACACGTGAAGATCTTACTGACACGAAGGTCAAACGTGACAGATCATACTGACCGAAGGTCACACAGAATGATCTTACTGACACGAAGTGTCACACGTGAAGTATCATACTGACACGAAGTCACACGTGAGATCATACGACACAGGTCACACGTGAAGATCATACTGACACGAAGGTCACACGTGAAGGTCTTACTGACACGAAGGTCACACGTGAAGATCTTACTGACACGAAGGTCACACGTGAAGATCTTACTGACACGAAGGTCACACGTGAAGATCATAGTGACACGAAGGTCACACATGAAGATCTTACTGACACGAAGGTCACACGTGAAGATCATACTGACACGAAGGTCACACGTGAAGATCATACTGACACGAAGGTCACACGTGAAGATCATACTGACACGAAGGTCACACACATGAAGACCATACTGACACGAAGGTCACACGTGAAGATCATACTGACACGAAGGTCACATGTGAAGATCATACTGACACGAAGGTCACACGTGAAGATCATACTGGCACGAAGGTCACACGTGAAGATCATACTGACACTAAAGTCACATGTGAAGATCATACTGACACGAAGGTCACACGTGAAGATCATACTGACACGAAGGTCACACGTGAAGATCATACTGACATGAAGGTCACATGTGAAGATCATACTGACACGAAGGTCACACGTGAAGATCATACTGACACGAAGGTCACACGTGAAGATCATACTGACACGAAGGTCACACGTGAAGATCATACTGACACGAAGGTCACACGTGAAGATCATACTGACACGAAGGTCACACGTGAAGATCATACTGACACGAAGGTCATACTCACTTTATTACTCAAAACTCGATAATAGTGGAGGATAAAGATTTATTTTTTTCTGGTAAAGAAAAGAATGGTGTTGGCAACAATGAAGTTGCTTCAGCAATTTTTTTGTCTTCATCTCATAGTATTATAGAGTAAACATCAGGATATTTAAATAGGAAAATGTCAATATAAGGTTTTTTCTTTGCTTATCTATTTATTTTCCATTTCCTTTTCATTCATTTCCCACTTTGCATATCCTCTCCCCCCCCCCTCTTTCACTCTCCTAATGTAATACATTGATTGTTGTCATGGTACAGGAGCTGGAATATGGTGTTCAACATGGTGACGAAGCGATGGTGTTGGACGCCCTCGCTCGTGGCGCCGACGTCACCATAACAACTAAGATGGATAATGAACAACCAGGCTGCTTGTTGTGTCTGGCAGGTAAAGTGGGCCACGCCCAGCTGGTGCCTCACCTTCTAGCAGCTGGTCTTAATGTAAATGGCTCAGGAGAGTCCTTGCTGACACCAATATACGTAGCAGCACGTCATGGTCATGATCAGGTGCTGAGAGAACTCCTCAAAGCTCAGCCCAACTTAGAAGACAAGAAATATCAAGGTGAGAACCACAACATCTTCTGTATCTTATTATCTTATGTATTTGAACTCACGTATTTGTAATGGTATAAATCTTTGTTCATGTGGGGATCTCTGTTGCTAAACTATATTATTATACACTGGTCTTGTTATATAACTTTATTATTATACACTGGTCTTGTTATATAACTATATTACTATACACTGGTCTTATTATATAACTATATTATTATACACTGGTCTTATTATATAACTATATTATTATACACTGGTCTTATTATGTAACTATATTATTATACACTGGTCTTATTATATAACTATATTATTATACACTGGTCTTATTATATAACTATATTATTATACACTGGTCTTATTATATAACTATATTATTATACACTGGTCTTATTATATAACTATATTATTAAGAGTAAGACGGAGAATAGGATAGCAGATGAACAAGGAGGCTTTAGGAAAGGTAGGGGGTGTGTGGACCAGGTGTTTACAGTGAAACATATAAGTGAACAGTATTTAGATAAGGCTAAAGAGGTCTTTGTGGCATTTATGGATTTGGAAAAGGCGTATGACAGGGTGGATAGGGGGGCAATGTGGCAGATGTTGCAAGTGTATGGTGTAGGAGGTAGGTTACTGAAAGCAGTGAAGAGTTTTTACGAGGATAGTGAGGCTCAAGTTAGAGTATGTAGGAAAGAGGGAAATTTTTTCCCAGTAAAAGTAGGCCTTAGACAAGGATGTGTGATGTCACCGTGGTTGTTTAATATATTTATAGATGGGGTTGTAAGAGAAGTAAATGCGAGGGTCTTGGCAAGAGGCGTGGAGTTAAAAGATAAAGAATCACACACAAAGTGGGAGTTGTCACAGCTGCTCTTTGCTGATGACACTGTGCTCTTGGGAGATTCTGAAGAGAAGTTGCAGAGATTGGTGGATGAATTTGGTAGGGTGTGCAAAAGAAGAAAATTAAAGGCGAATACAGGAAAGAGTAAGGTTATGAGGATAACAAAAAGATTAGGTGATGAAAGATTGAATATCAGATTGGAGGGAGAGAGTATGGAGGAGGTGAACGTATTCAGATATTTGGGAGTGGACGTGTCAGCGGATGGGTCTATGAAAGATGAGGTGAATCATAGAATTGATGAGGGAAAAAGAGTGAGTGGTGCACTTAGGAGTCTGTGGAGACAAAGAACTTTGTCCTTGGAGGCAAAGAGGGGAATGTATGAGAGTATAGTTTTACCAACGCTCTTATATGGGTGTGAAGCGTGGGTGATGAATGTTGCAGCGAGGAGAAGGCTGGAGGCAGTGGAGATGTCGTGTCTGAGGGCAATGTGTGGTGTGAATATAATGCAGAGAATTCGTAGTTTGGAAGTTAGGAGGAGGTGCGGGATTACCAAAACTGTTGTCCAGAGGGCTGAGGAAGGGTTGTTGAGGTGGTTCGGACATGTAGAGAGAATGGAGCGAAACAGAATGACTTCAAGAGTGTATCAGTCTGTAGTGGAAGGAAGGCGGGGTAGGGGTCGGCCTAGGAAGGGTTGAGGGAGGGGGTAAAGGAGGTTTTGTGTGCGAGGGGCTTGGACTTCCAGCAGGCATGCGTGAGCGTGTTTGATAGGAGTGAATGGAGACAAATGGTTTTTAATACTTGACGTGCTGTTGGAGTGTGAGCAAAGTAACATTTATGAAGGGATTCAGGGAAACCGGCAGGCCGGACTTGAGTCCTGGAGATGGGAAGTACAGTGCCTGCACTCTGAAGGAGGGGTGTTAATGTTGCAGTTTAAAAACTGTAGTGTAAAGCACCCTTCTGGCAAGACAGTGATGGAGTGAATGATGGTGAAAGTTTTTCTTTTTCGGGCCACTCTGCCTTTGTGGGAATCGGCCAGTGTGATAAAAAAAATTATTATACACTGGTCTTATTATATAACTATATTATTATACACTGGTCTTATTATATAATTATATTATTATACACTGGTCTTGTTATATAACTATATTATTGTATACTGGTCTTATTATGTAACTATATTATTATACACTGGTCTTATTATATATCTATATTATTATACACTGGTCTTATTATATATCTATATTATTATACACTGGTCTTATTATATATCTATATAATTATACACTGGTCTTATTATATAACTATATTATTATACACTGGTCTTATTATATAACTATATTATTATACACTGGTCTTATTATATAACTATATTATTATACACTGGTCTTATTATATAACTATATTATTATACACTGGTCTTATTATATAACTATATTATTATACACTGGTCTTATTATATAATTATATTATTATACACTGGTCTTGTTATATAACTATATTATTGTATACTGGTCTTATTATATAACTATATTATTATACACTGGTCTTATTATATATCTATATTATTATACACTGGTCTTATTATATAACTATATTATTATACACTGGTCTTATTATATATCTATATTATTATACACTGGTCTTATTATATAACTATATTATTATACACTGGTCTTATTATATAACTATATTATTATACACTGGTCTTGTTATATAACTATATTATTATACACTGGTCTTATTATATAATTATATTATTATACACTGGTCTTGTTATATAACTATATTATTGTATACTGGTCTTATTATATAACTATATTATTATACACTGGTCTTATTATATATCTATATTATTATACACTGGTCTTATTATATATCTATATTATTATACACTGGTCTTATTATATATCTATATTATTATACACTGGTCTTATTATATAATTATATTATTATACACTGGTCTTGTTATATAACTATATTATTATACACTGGTCTTATTATTATTTTATTTTATTATCACACTGGCCGATTCCCACCAAGGCAGGGTGGCCCACCAAGGCAGGGTGGCCCACCAAGGCAGGGTGGCCCACCAAGGCAGGGTGGCCCACCAAGGCAGGGTGGCCCACCAAGGCAGGGTGGCCCACCAAGGCAGGGTGGCCCACCAAGGCAGAGTGGCCCACCAAGGCAGGGTGGCCCACCAAGGCAGGGTGGCCCACCAAGGCAGGGTGGCCCACCAAGGCAGGGTGGCCCACCAAGGCAGGGTGGCCCACCAAGGCAGGGTGGCCCACCAAGGCAGGGTGGCCCACCAAGGCAGGGTGGCCCACCAAGGCAGAGTGGCCCGAAAAAGAAAAACTTTCACCATCATTCACTCCATCACTGTCTTGCCAGAAGGGTGCTTTACACTACAGTTTTTAAACTGCAACATTAACACCCCTCCTTCAGAGTGCAGGCACTGTACTTCCCATCTCCAGGACTCAAGTCCGGCCTGCCGGTTTCCCTGAACCCCTTCATAAATGTTACTTTGCTCACACTCCAACAGCACGTCAAGTATTAAAAACCATTTGTCTCCATTTACTCCTATCAAATACGCTCACGCATGCCCGCTGGAAGTCGAAGCCCCTCACACACAAAACCTCCTTTACCCCCTCCCTCCAACCTTTCCTAGGCCGACCCCTACCCGGCTTCCTTCCACTACAGACTGATACACTCTTGAAGTCATTCTGTTTCGCTCCATTCTCTCTACATGTCCGAACCACCTCAACAACCCTTCCTCAGCCCTCTGGACAACAGTTTTGGTAATCCCGCACCTCCTCCTAACTTCCAAACTACGAATTCTCTGCATTATATTCACACCACACATTGCCGTCAGACATGACATCTCCACTGCCTCCAGCCTCCTCCTCGCTGCAACATTCATCACCCATGCTTCACACCCATATAAGAGCATTGGTAAAACAATACTCTCATACATTCCCCTCTTTGCCTCCAAGGACAAAGTTCTTTGTCTCCACAGACTCCTAAGTGCACCGCTCACCCCTTTCACCTCATCAATTCTATGATTGACCTCATCTTTCATAGACCCATCCGCTGACACATCCACTCCCAAATATCTGAATACATTCACCTCCTCCATACTCTCTCCCTCCAATCTGATATCCAATCTTTCATCACCTAATCTTTTTGTTATCCTCATAACCTTACTCTTTCCTGTATTCACTTTTAATTTTCTTCTTTTGCATACCCTACCAAATTCATCCACCAATCTCTGCAACTTCTCTTCAGAATCTCCCAAGAGCACAGTGTCATCAGCAAAGAGCAACTGTGACAACTCCCACTTTATGTGTGATTCTTTATCTTTTAACTCCACGCCTCTTGCCAAGACCATCGTGTTTACTTCTCATACAACCACATCTATAAATATATTAAACAACCACGGTGACATCACACATCCTTGTCTAAGGCCTACTTTTACTGGGAAATACTTTCCCTCTTTCCTACATACTCTAACTTGAGCCTCACTATCCTCCTAAAAACTCTTCACTGCTTTCAGTAACCTACCTCCTATACCATACACCTGCAACATCTGCCACATTGCCCCCTATCCACCCTGTCATACACCTTTTCCAAATCCATAAATGCCACAAAGACCTCTTTAACCTTATCTAAATACTGTTCACTTATGTGTTTCACTGTAAACACCTGGTCCACACACCCCCTACCTTTCCTAAAGCCTCCTTGTTCATCTGCTATCCTATTCTCCGTCTTACTCTTAATTCGTTCAATAATAACTCTACCATACGCTTTACCAGATATACTCAACAGACTAACTCCCCTATAATTTTTGCACTCTCTTTTGTCCCCTTTGCCTTTATACAGAGGAACTATGCATGCTCTCTGCCAATCCCTAGGTACCTTACCCTCTTCCATACATTTATTAAATAATTGCACCAACCACTCAAAAACTATATCCCCACCTGCTTTTAACATTTCTATCTTCATCCCATCAATCCCGGCTGCCTTACCCCCTTCCATTTTACCTACTGCCTCACGAACTTCCCCCACACTCACAACTGGCTCTTCCTCACCCCTACAAGATGTTATTCCTCCTTGCCCTATACAGGAAATCACAGCTTCCCTATCTTCATCAACGTTTAACAATTCCTCGAAGTATT